AATAACGAGCGCACTTTTGAAATCGAATTGCATAATATCAATTGTTCTGAAAAGATCAAAGACAGGACAGTAAAGCGAGGTCGTTGTCATTGCGCAGAACCTCGTCTGTCTGTTGAATGTTAAGTACCATCCTGCAAGGGCGATTCCATTTGTCAAGTGTATGTGTGTGCGATAAACGCGCTCAACTGGGTGACTCGGCGTGAACTGGGGCACCTGTACGTGCGTTCAAAGAGAATATAAAGATTGCATCCCTACTCGTCACTTACATATATATACCTATATACTTACAACTACAAATATATTCCGCACTCATATTCACACATCCACCTCAGAGATGATAATCTTTTCAGAAATTAACAACAAATCCCAAGAGCAGCAAAGATATCCTTCTTGCCATATTCCACATATATAAGTTAACGTAAGCGCAATTTTACAAAACCGCAAAAGAACCGCTCACAACTAGAAGATTGCGTCTATTATGATAAAATTATATATATATATATATATGAGAGTGCATCTCCTAAGCGCTCCATTTACACAATCGTTGCGATTTCATTTGATAATAATTTTGAATATTCATGAGAGAGTGTGCGATAAGATTTTCTTCCCCCTTCTTTCAAAAGAATAGAGAAAAAGCACACCTTTATTAAGAAAAAAGTTTTGCTGCGACTCTTAAACAGAGAGAGAGAGAGAGAGAGAGGAGATTTACGAGGCTCTTGTGCTTAAAGGAATAATGTTTTCTTTAATCCATCATGAAAGAGATGATTAGGTAATTCCGTAGATATATACTCGTATTTTCAAGTTGCAACACATTTGCGAGAGATGAAAACGGCAGTATATCTGCCATCTTTCTCTGGCGTACACGGATGCTGACCGATCACATTTGGATTCGTCAGATCGACAGATCCTTTCATAGATCGCGATTTATGGATCGTAAAATTAAATCGTAAAGTCGACATCGCGGTGGTTTGGCCCACATATATATATATATATATAAACCCTACACACGCAGCTGGTGTACGAAAATAAAAAAAAAAAGGAGAAAAGTGATGAGAGAGAGATAAAAAGACAAATCGCACATACTTATAGGTGAAATGTGGTTCGCGGTTTTCTCCTATATAAATGTTCACCGCAAAAAAAAAAGGGCCATTTGAAAACGCCCCCCGCTTCCGAGAGCGATCGGAAACTGCTGAGGGACAAACTTTCTTTCATCAGAAACTAATTCTTCCCACGGAAATATTATTCTCGGGGACGACAAAGTCGTTTTTTTTTTTTAAAGTGACACATGTCACACTCCCACTTTCGTGACAAGTTGATTCCTTACATTTTATGAAGAATAGACTCGGCAGGAAAAAGATCCAGTCGATCATTGACGGATGTCCGACTAATAATCATCAATTGCATGAGATGTTTAGCCGAAGACAGATGCTAATAATATACCTTCTTTTTTCTCTCTAATTTTATCTTTTCGTTTTTTTGTCCCTGCTTCCTCTTTTTTTATTCTTATTTTCTATTTTTCGCATAAAAAACGCTTGAATATTGGGAAAATTAGGGTTTATGTTATAGGATTAATAGAATAGCACTGCGCAGCGCCGCCATAACAGCGGGAAAATTTGAAATTTTTTTTCAATGAAGAAAAATGAGGTCGATTTTTTTTTTTTCACTGGAATGAGAGGAATAATATATATATATATATATATATATCAAAAGAGATGTGTCGTGGAATGTAATTGTAGGTTGGAAGGGTATTTAAATGGTGTGCAATTAGAAGAAGTAATAGCGCACTTGGGAAGTACGTCCGTGAGTTGTTTTGAAGTTGGTGGTATAACTCAAGTTCTTCTATACTCTTGGATTCTTGCCATGTGTTAAACACGATATTCTTTCGCTTTTACGAGCAAGCTAATTGTAACCATAGAGTAAAAGAGAAAAATATTCGGCACCATGTCGTTAAAAAAAAAAATAAGTTCTGATATCGATATCTAATTTCTGATATAGTTATAAATATAAAAAAAAAATAGATAATAAATTAACGAACTATTTTCTACCTGCTATGGATTTCCCTAAACCGGAAACTGACTTTTAAGAGGCTAAGTGACTTTCTTGATTCTTTTGAAGGCAACGGAAGTTGAATGAATTCTAGGTTGATGACAATAAAGCGCGTCAAGCATCAGGAATTTCCAGAGACATACTTTTCGTATACGACATTTTTTATTTTCTTTTTCGTTAATGAATAAGTCAAATTGTCACCATTGTTTCACGAATGAATAACCTGACTTTTGAATCACTTGTCGCTTTTCTCCCGTTTGAACTACTGTTTTTATAAGGCCCGCCCAAAACCTGTAATTGTTTTCTGTTTTTTTTCGCATATATATATATATATGAGTCGTCGTATAATTTTCAATCGTTCATTTGTGAAAAACAATGGAGAGAGAGAGAGAGAAATTTGCATCATATAAGATTGTCCACGACCCAAATGTAGTGTGCATGTATATATATATGTGTCTGAGGTTTTAACGAATTCAGACCCCGCCGGAAATGGGGTCTTGCAAATTGGTGCAGTGACAAAAAACCTTGCGTAAATATTCATTGCAGTCCTCGCTTCTTTGTATATATAACTCTCTCCTGATTTTTTTCTTCTTCTTTAGTATCGTCGATTAAAAAACACATATATGCATTTAGATTACTTGAATTCAATTTATTGCACAAGAGAAATAATTATACTATTATGGAAATATTTTTATGGGTTGGTACTAGTCAAATGTGATATTTGAATTTTTTTTAATACGTTATTGGAAGTCGAATCGAATCATATTTTGTGTGCAGATTTTTTTGGACTCTGAAAATCCCAAGCAGAGGGTAGGCGGTCGAGAAAGTAAAAAAAAAAAAAAAAGGAAAGAGGATCGCGAACACTATAAGGTTCGGCTACTCTCGTTCGAATGTTACGCGAAGAATCCAAACCGTGATCGTTAGTATGCTAATGGAAGTTCCTCCAATATATATATTTATATATGTATTTAATGGTCCTGTGTATAGTGTTCGTTAAATTATTTAAAATATTTCCGAATGTCGTTCTAATTGGTGCTAGCGCGCATCTAGGATATGTGTGTGTGTGTGTAGCCGAAAACACAAGAACAGAGACTGAATATAATGCTCAACTGTATATTGCTGAAACCTGGCGCCACGAAATTGGATAAAAGAAATTCTTGATTGTTTCTACCATCCGAGAATGTATATATAGCTGCATAAAGAAATTCTAATTCATGAAACATTTATATTCCAAAACGAATTTAGATATTTTTGGAATATTTAGAATTTGAAATAAAATTGATATATTCATTAAACAAAGTTGATTGGAGAAATTTATGGAAATTTCTGAGATAGTTTCTATTCGGAAGAGCTGTTTTCAAAATTAAGAGCTTTTACTGTTTTGTTATAATACAGTCGCATATATATGACTAAAGTAACATCAATTTTTGTATTAAAACTCATGTTGAACATATGTGTTTTTCGTTTCCACCTTAGATTGGATATTTGCGCGGTAAATTCAATTGGTAGAGTATATCGGGTGCCCTAATGAGGTCCAATTACTATCGAATGGTTCACTTAGTATGCAGTACCGATATTCCTTTGCGCAAAGTGTATATATATATATATATATGTGTGTGGTATACGACGAGAGCAAGGGTCAACACCCTTGGGCTGGACATCTATCTGTTGGTTAACGAGACTGCTTCTTCAATGTGCAACAGCAGCAAACTCTCTTTCCCCTAATGCTCCTTTATGCTCGTTTCTCGGACAAAGTCGAGTCAAGTCTACTCTCTTTAAAGCGCAAGCCGCCTTCTGGTTTTACGCGTGCTTCTCGTTTGCGCACGTGCACCACGTCCACCTGTTTCAATGTTCATCCGTCCATGCGGATCTTCGTTCCTCTCCTATATATATATACATACATACATTTAAATTATTATACATGCTATACGCTGCAAGAATAGTTCACTGCGATTTGTAGAAAATAGCTCTTTTTTTAACGACGACGACGACAAACAGGAGACACGCTCAATTTAACAAGGTCGCACTCGCACTCTTTTTCGGACTATTCTTATTAAAACGGACTTCAAGAAGAAAAAATATACCTGCGCGGTTTAACTTTTGTTGAAAAAAAAATTTGATGCAACTGAATTTTTCACAATTTATGAAACTAAATTTTCACTTTGATGTCAATGATTTAATTTACTTTGTAAGTGACTGTTTTAAGGTTAAATTTGTGTCTGCGCAGAATACTCAAAAAAATATACGATTGATGATTAGATGTGTTCTATGTTGACGCGAATTTATTCATTTTCTACTTTATTCTCTGTGATGAAATTCCCTTTGATTGAGATTTCACTGAAGAAAAGTGAAATTTAGCAACTGAACTTGAATAAAATTTTCACTGAAAATTAGTATAGAATTCTTTACTAATCAAAACAGTTAAAATCTGCATTATCATTAATCGGTAAAGCAAATTTAACTGTTTCAATTAGTAAAGAAGAATCAAAATTTAATTTACTAATTGTAAATTGTTGTTACTAAAATATCAGTAAAATATCACTTATTCAAAAGAGAGTAATGTTTTCTATAATCTGAATTCTCTTTCGATTTTGATGAACAATTTTCAACTAATTTTGGTTTTTTACAACGAAAATATAAAGAAATAACTAATAATCTTCTAATTGAAAATTGTCTACGTATATATATATATATATATATATATTTAAGGAGAGAAAACATGAAGGTTATTTAAGAAGGCTATAATTGTAAAGTGGACTTGCTCTAGAATTACGTAAATTGGAATATTTTTCCAAAGGAAACGTTATATATATATATATAGTATAGCCTAATGCTCCAATTATGCGGCTGTTGTATAATTATTATTAACAGTTTTCCCGTCAAAACACGCGATTTTAAAAATAATTTTTCTCCTTTTCGAAAAAAGAAATCATAAAATAATATACTTTTCTTACCTTGCAACCTTCACAGGTAAATGCTCCAAAATGAAAACCTGCTGCCGGTTCACCACAAACTTTACACTGTTGATTCATCTAGAACAAAAAAAATGTCAAAAATATTATTTTATTATCGAAATCAATTTTTTTTTAGTAATTTTAAAAGATTTTTTTTTTAATTTTACTGTGAATGTCGTCGTCTTAAATTCAAGAGAAAAGTAAAAAATCATTTTTGTTTCAAGGACATGAAAAAAAAAAAACCTTTTCACTTCTAATATTCCAAAAAGAAATTTCCAATTTTCTCGCATTTTTTAAAAAAGAAAAAAATTTGTTTCATTCTCTTGAAAATATATTAGGGTCCATCGAAAACGAGTTTTCTTTTTTTTTGTGACACGATACTATCTTTCCTTCGAGGCCATCTGTCGATTCTTTTTTTTACAAAAAAAAAAAAAGAGAGAAAAATGTCCACAATAGGAAAAGAATTTTATTGGAAAAATTGAATTTTTTTCGTTTTAAAAGCATACGCTTATAATTCTCCTATATATCATAAAATAATTCAACAGAACGTTTTAGCGCTAATTTCTTGAACAAGAGTGTATGTATTCCAGCAATTAACAAATGCTGATTCGAATCATGATGACCATAAAGTTACATTCAATTAAAGCATACTCGAGTTTCTTTAGCGCAATGAGCGTATAGTCGTTTTGAGCTTTTAAGGTTAACAATGCGCAATGGCGTATATATATATATATAATTCATTTTGAAAACACCCTGTCTCGATAAAGTAAATTGAAAAATCCCCGCTTTTCTCTCAACGAACGATGAGGCTATAAAACATTTGTGTGAATCCATAGGGAGTGTACACCGCGGTGATTCGTTCGACTCTTATAAAACGCATGTTGTGTTTTTTGCCTCCTTTTTTCTCTCTCTCTCTCTCTCTCTCTCTCTCTCACTCTGTATATATGTTGCCCGGGTATTTTAACGAGAATTCAGAGTGGCGGTAATTAGAGCTCTCTCGAAGGAACGAGAGATCCGATACGACACGAAGAGGCCCTCGTTCATTTGTACCTAATTACGTTAAGCCGCGAGACCGCCGACGGCGAGTAACGTCGCCTCTGTCCCTATATATATATATACGAGCAACAAAACACACATATATATATATAGAAAAGAGCCGCTTCATTAGTTTCCAACTTTTTACCCCTAACGTGTGTTCAATGTCCGCATCGTTCTCTTTTGATTTCACCTTTCAGGAAAATGTCTCGATTCACACGAATCATTATTTTTCCCGCGCAAGTGCATGTATGCGGCAAATTAGAACAAAAAAAAAATATTCTGAAATTTAGAATATATATAAGAACCAATTTAAAATTTTTTTTTAAGTGCGCCTTTATACTATATATGAATATTAAAACTCATTCACATAAATATTTCATAAACAAAATGAAAAAACAAAAATTCTATTTTATGTCCATTTTATTATCCCTTTTACACTAATTTAAATATCTACATTATGTCAAATTATTAAGAAAGTAGTATAAAACTTATTTCGGCAAACTATAAACGGTTTTTTTTCCGCGATCAAATTGGCTATACTTTAGTTACCTTTTTTTTTTTGGCAAGTTTAGTTGGACAATTTAAATTTAATTACTTCATATGCATTTTAATCGCTTTTTTAAATGACTATTCATTTTTATTAATTGAAAAATTATAAACTATCGCGATTTTTGTTTATTTCGAGTTAATATTAATAATGTCAATATATTCAAGACAAATAAAAGAATAAATATAATTGGTAGTAGAAAAAGTTGTTCTATTATATATATGTATATATATATATATATATATATATAAAATTTAGAAATTAAATATTATATTGAACTTTTAAATTAATTACCGATAATTTAAATATAATGTATGAAATAGGTGTAAAATATAGATGCTCCAGTTCACGCAACTTTTATGATTGAGAATTTTGAAAGAAATAATTTTTTTTTTTTTAATGAAAAAATCTAAAAGATATTTTTTTTCAACGTGCTCATTGAGCAATAAATCAGAGGCAAAAAGGGGGACAAAAATATTATTAGTTCTGATTTTGTTGTGTTTCATCATTTTTCTGATTATGCAACAAGGGAATATCAAAATGTGACAAGTAACGCAGCGCCACCTATTAAATATCTTTCATCGGTCGGTAATTCAGGAATTGGCTTAAAATTTTATTGCCTTAGGTATAAAAAAAATCAATGTGGTATTAAGATTACTATAAGTGAAAGAGACAAAAATCTTAAAAAAAAATATTAAATTATTGAACTAGAGGAAAAAATAAATTATTATTTTCAAATTGTTTTTCTATAGAATTTAGAGGTAAGTTTTAAATTTACTTTTAAAATCAAATTCGTCACCGCGACAAAAGGATATATATAATAATTTAGTCTTTTTACGAAAAAAGTATTAGCACGCGCGCTAGCCACAAATATGCTCCCCTTTTAATTTTTTTTTTTTTAACGCCGCAAATGCTTCTCTCACCCCATATATATATATAGTTTCCATGCGAGAGTCAATATTTGCACAGACACTTGTTACATCATGAAGTAGTCGTACCTGCTCCAAATATCAACTTACAAGGTTTCAAACAGGGGCACAGTGAAAGTTTCCTCCCCCTTTTTATACCTTTTCGTCTGCCGTGATCTCCTGGTCGAAAAGTTAGGGTCGAGAACCCTAAACTTCTTTTAGGGATACGCTCTTGCGACATTGCAGTGTTTACGCACCATTAAATTCGACTCTTGTATATATGACGTTTATCCCTTTTATTCTTTTTTTTTTGCCTTTCTTTCTTCTCGCACATTTTTCTATATATATACATATATATAATCTTCCCCCTCCCCCCTTGTGTGATTTGAAACCCTCATGCTATTATTGTAACCCTTCTTCTTCTTTTTTTTTTGCTTCTTATTTGCATTCATTTCGTCACTGTGAGCTTCCTGATCGTTGAGAACGTGGAGTTAAGAAGTAATCATTAGTGAAGCTTATATATGATATACGAATAAGAAGAAAAAGAAGAGGAAGAAGCGAAAATAAAAAGAAGAAGAAGAAGGAATTCAAAAGTGAACAAGATAATTGCGCATAAGAGAAACGTAATTAGTGAAATTAGGTTCGACTTATTAAGGCTAATTCTAATCATGGTCCGGTATCCGTTCACCGATCAATGATGAGAGCGGTGTGTGTATATATATATGTTCGGTAATGATCACAGGGTCGAGGAAAGGTGTCATGAGAGAGCTCGCGTGTGTGATTTACATCGGATCCTTCAGGCGCAAAATACGACGCACGAAATCGATCGTTCAATTTAAGACCAGTTTCGGATCATCTTCAATATACGTCACTCGACAACCTACCATATATATTATATAAAGAGAAACCGCTCGATATTGTCAATCGATATATCACTTCAAAAGTTTGTATTGATTTATGATTCTTTTGATGGAATACACTTTTAAAAATACTATTTTACTATTCTACACGTAACAAAAAATTTTATTCTATATTTCAGAACCATAAACCAAACTATACTTTTTCAAATATTGAATTCGAATCTAACTTCAGAATTGACCCAATACGAGATATTCTAACCTAAAAGACGTTTTTTTCGACCATATTAGGTTATGTAACATCAAGAGGTAATTTTGTTTCAAAAAAATCGTTACAACATCTGAAACTATATACTATTCTTAACCTTTAGAATGCATATTTTGAAACATTAAAAAATCTTTATTTGGCTCTGAGTTATCGTTATTTGAATTTTCTGCATTTGCTGAAGAGAATTGCAAAGTTCAAAATGTCGGATCCAATATGGCGGACGAGTTTTGTTAAAATTCATCGAATTCACTTGAAACTTGTTACTCGGGGGTTTTTTGGGGCCGCTAATGATTACGTATCCGATGTCAGTTTTCAAAAAATTTTAAATGTAGCATCCCAAATAGCGGAATTTTTAAATAATTCATCGGAATTTACTTAAAACTCATTACTTGATGGTGAATATGTTTATTTATCTCTTTTTTAAAATTCAAATACTATTTAAAAAAAAAAAATTCATGCAAATTAGAAAAAAATTATATATTTACTGCAGTATAGTAAAAAAACAGAAATAAATCTAATATTGATTAATTAAAAGTAAGGCAAAGAATCCCAGTTGCGAGCGATGCATATATATATATTGAAAAGAAGAAAAGGCGACACTTTTTAAAGATTGACATAATGAGACTCTTTGAGAAAGAGAAAGAGAGGAAAAAAGAAGCTGGAATAATAGAGATCAGGAAATAAAAAGAAAAAAATGAGTGTCATATATATATATATATATATATATATATATATATATATATAGAGAGAGAGAGAGAGAGAGAGAGAGAGAGAGAGAGAGAGAGAGAGAGAGAGAGAGAGAAATTTAGCATTCTCTGTTTGTAATAAAAGAAGAAAGGGAACGTATATGATACTGACAAAGTAGTTACGTTTCGGCCTAGTAAACTCCATTGTAATTTGGTTTTTGAATGCCTATACAATAATCTTTCTCGAAAAAAAAAATCTCAGCTACTTCATTTCATCTCTCAACTCCTGAAAAATATTCCCTACTTATCATTTTCTCATAAATAAATACATATTTCTGGAAAATTAACTCTCTGTATCCATCATTATAATAATATTCTTATATATATAGAATATAATATCGATCCAAGAATTAATGTTGTTGAATTTTTCCAAGAAACAGACCGCACAAAAAGATACAAGTCATGGTTTCTCGTGGGTGAATTCCTTTTGTCAAAATATCGAAGCGCTTTTTTGACCCAGAAAATCGGGGAGAAAAAAAAAAAAAAAAAAAAAATGTTGAAAGGCAAACGTATCGCGTTCTCGCGCAATTTGTATCGAGGATGCGTTTTTAACGATCCTCATGATGGATGAAGAAGAACGGTTTTGTTAGGCTCTCGATCGGGCCTCTGAAAAATGATCTTTTGGCCCCGGGGACAGAAGTGCTTTTTGGGGACCTCCTTCGGTTAATGTTTTCGCGATCCACAATGCGCGCCACGGGAGCCAAAAAGAGAAGA